AGCGCAACTACATTAAGGAAATCACAACTACATAAAGCAAAGCGCAACTACATTAAGAAAAACAAAACTACATAAAGCAAAGCGCAACTACATTAAGGAAAACAAAACTACATAAAGCAAAGCGCAACTACATTAAGAAAAACAAAACTACATAAAGCAAAGCGCAACTACATTAAGAAAAACAAAACTACATAAAGCAAAGCGCAACTACATTAAGAAAAACAAAACTACATAAAGCAAAGCGCAACTACATTAAGAAAAACAAAACTACATAAAGCAAAGCGCAACTACATTAAGGAAATCGCAACTACATAAAGCAAAGCGCAACTACATTAAGAAAAACAAAACTACATAAAGCAAAGCGCAACTACATTAAGAAAAACAAAACTACATAAAGCAAAGCGCAACTACATTAAGGAAAACGCAACTACATAAAGCAAAGCGCAACTACATTAAGAAAAACAAAACTACATAAAGCAAAGCGCAACTACATTAAGAAAAACAAAACTACATAAAGCAAAGCGCAACTACATTAAGAAAAACAAAACTACATAAAGCAAAGCGCAACTACATTAAGGAAAACAAAACTACATAAAGCAAAGCGCAACTACATTAAGGAAAACAAAACTACATAAAGCAAAGCGCAACTACATTAAGAAAAACAAAACTACATAAAGCAAAGCGCAACTACATTAAGGAAATCGCAACTACATAAAGCAAAGCGCAACTACATTAAGGAAAACGCAACTACATAAAGCAAAGCGCAACTACATTAAGGAAAACAAAACTACATAAAGCAAAGCGCAACTACATTAAGGAAATCAAAACTACATAAAGCAAAGCGCAACTACATTAAGAAAAACAAAACTATATAAAGCAAAGCGCAACTACATTAAGGAAATCGCAACTACATAAAGCAAAGCGCAACTACATTAAGGAAATCACAACTACATAAAGCAAAGCGCAACTACATTAAGAAAAACAAAACTACATAAAGCAAAGCGCAACTACATTAAGGAAAACAAAACTACATAAAGCAAAGCGCAACTACATTAAGAAAAACAAAACTACATAAAGCAAAGCGCAACTACATTAAGAAAAACGCAACTACATAAAGCAAAGCGCAACTACATTAAGGAAAACAAAACTACATAAAGCAAAGCGCAACTACATTAAGAAAAACAAAACTACATAAAGCAAAGCACAACTACATTAAGGAAAACAAAACTACATAAAGCAAAGCGCAACTACATTAAGAAAAACAAAACTACATAAAGCAAAGCGCAACTACATTAAGGAAAACAAAACTACATAAAGCAAAGCGCAACTACATTAAGAAAAACAAAACTACATAAAGCAAAGCGCAACTACATTAAGAAAAACAAAACTACATAAAGCAAAGCGCAACTACATTAAGGAAAACAAAACTACATAAAGCAAAGCGCAACTACATTAAGAAAAACAAAACTACATAAAGCAAAGCGCAACTACATTAAGAAAAACAAAACTACATAAAGCAAAGCGCAACTACATTAAGAAAAACAAAACTACATAAAGCAAAGCGCAACTACATTAAGGAAAACAAAACTACATAAAGCAAAGCGCAACTACATTAAGAAAAACAAAACTACATAAAGCAAAGCGCAACTACATTAAGGAAAACAAAACTACATAAAGCAAAGCGCAACTACATTAAGAAAAACAAAACTACATAAAGCAAAGCGCAACTACATTAAGGAAAACAAAACTACATAAAGCAAAGCGCAACTACATTAAGAAAAACAAAACTACATAAAGCAAAGCGCAACTACATTAAGAAAAACAAAACTACATAAAGCAAAGCGCAACTACATTAAGGAAATCGCAACTACATAAAGCAAAGCGCAACTACATTAAGGAAAACAAAACTACATAAAGCAAAGCGCAACTACATTAAGGAAATCGCAACTACATAAAGCAAAGCGCAACTACATTAAGAAAAACAAAACTACATAAAGCAAAGCGCAACTACATTAAGGAAATCGCAACTACATAAAGCAAAGCGCAACTACATTAAGAAAAACAAAACTACATAAAGCAAAGCGCAACTACATTAAGAAAAACAAAACTACATAAAGCAAAGCGCAACTACATTAAGGAAAACAAAACTACATAAAGCAAAGCGCAACTACATTAAGAAAAACAAAACTACATAAAGCAAAGCGCAACTACATTAAGAAAAACAAAACTACATAAAGCAAAGCGCAACTACATTAAGGAAATCGCAACTACATAAAGCAAAGCGCAACTACATTAAGAAAAACAAAACTACATAAAGCAAAGCGCAACTACATTAAGGAAAACAAAACTACATAAAGCAAAGCGCAACTACATTAAGGAAAACACAACTACATAAAGCAAAGCGCAACTACATTAAGGAAAACGCAACTACATAAAGCAAAGCGCAACTACATTAAGAAAAACGCAACTACATAAAGCAAAGCGCAACTACATTAAGAAAAACGCAACTACATAAAGCAAAGCGCAACTACATTAAGGAAAACAAAACTACATAAAGCAAAGCGCAACTACATTAAGAAAAACTAAATTACATAAAGCAAAGCGCAACTACATTAAGGAAATCGCAACTACATAAAGCAAAGCGCAACTACATTAAGGAAAACAAAACTACATAAAGCAAAGCGCAACTACATTAAGGAAAACAAAACTACATAAAGCAAAGCGCAACTACATTAAGGAAATCAAAACTACATAAAGCAAAGCGCAACTACATTAAGAAAAACGCAACTACATAAAGCAAAGGGCAACTACATTAAGGAAATCGCAACTACATAAAGCAAAGCGCAACTACATTAAGGAAAACAAAACTACATAAAGCAAAGCGCAACTACATTAAGGAAAACAAAACTACATAAAGCAAAGCGCAACTACATTAAGAAAAACAAAACTACATAAAGCAAAGCGCAACTACATTAAGGAAATCGCAACTACATAAAGCAAAGCGCAACTACATTAAGAAAAACAAAACTACATAAAGCAAAGCGCAACTACATTAAGAAAAACAAAACTACATAAAGCAAAGCGCAACTACATTAAGGAAAACAAAACTACATAAAGCAAAGCGCAACTACATTAAGAAAAACAAAACTACATAAAGCAAAGCGCAACTACATTAAGAAAATCAAAACTACATAAAGCAAAGCGCAACTACATTAAGGAAAACAAAACTACATAAAGCAAAGCGCAACTACATTAAGAAAAACAAAACTACATAAAGCAAAGCGCAACTACATTAAGGAAAACAAAACTACATAAAGCAAAGCGCAACTACATTAAGGAAAACAAAACTACATAAAGCAAAGCGCAACTACATTAAGGAAATCAAAACTACATAAAGCAAAGCGCAACTACATTAAGAAAAACAAAACTACATAAAGCAAAGCGCAACTACATTAAGAAAAACAAAACTACATAAAGCAAAGCGCAACTACATTAAGGAAATCGCAACTACATAAAGCAAAGCGCAACTACATTAAGAAAAACAAAACTACATAAAGCAAAGCGCAACTACATTAAGAAAAACAAAACTACATAAAGCAAAGCGCAACTACATTAAGGAAAACAAAACTACATAAAGCAAAGCGCAACTACATTAAGGAAAACAAAACTACATAAAGCAAAGCGCAACTACATTAAGGAAATCGCAACTACATAAAGCAAAGCGCAACTACATTAAGAAAAACAAAACTACATAAAGCAAAGCGCAACTACATTAAGGAAAACGCAACTACATAAAGCAAAGCGCAACTACATTAAGAAAAACAAAACTACATAAAGCAAAGCGCAACTACATTAAGGAAAACAAAACTACATAAAGCAAAGCGCAACTACATTAAGGAAAACAAAACTACATAAAGCAAAGCGCAACTACATTAAGAAAAACAAAACTACATAAAGCAAAGCGCAACTACATTAAGGTAGTTTTTTTTTCTTCATGTAGTTGCGCTTTGCTTTATGTAGTTTTGTTTTTCTTAATGTAGTTGCGCTTTGCTTTATGTAGTTTTTTTTTTCTTAATGTAGTTTCGCTTTTCTTTATGTAGTTTTGTTTTTCTTAATGTAGTTGCGCTTTGCTTTATGTAATTTTGTTTTTCTTTATTTATTTGCGATTTCCTTAATGTTGTCAGATCCTGTTCTCCAAGTTCACAAATCAAATTTCCCACTGAGCCTGAACTAATCGCTGTGTCTTCCCCTCACTTTACAGTTCCGGTTGAGCAGTGTTCAGAGCAACACTTCTCTCTGCATTATCTCTTCAATAAAACCTGTTAAACCTTTTCTCCTGGTCTCCCTGTTTGGTCTTCAGCATTTAGGTCTGAACTTTTGTAAAACCATGAAAGAATGTGTATTAGGAGAAACAAGACTCTCCTGTTTTCTTTTTGTTTGTTTTTAAATGAGAAATAGTAATCGAATTTAGCTGTACTTTTTATACTGAAGTTCTTTACAGGTGATGTAACATCTGTAGCAGAGTGGTTCCATGCATCGATACATCAGTTGGTTTCTGAAAGTTACAAGGTTCTTTAAAATTACTCTGAATATTACCCAGAAATGTACTGATATTAGAAAATGTAATTTGTACTTTTAAAAACTTAGGTATTTTCATTGGTGAATACTTCAATACTTTCTCTTGAGTAGATATTTGACTAATTTTACAAGTGATTGAGTAAGATTAGACTCTGAGTATCAGTACTTTTACTAAAGCAGTTTACTACTGTTGAGTACTATGGCCATCACTGGACGCGAAGGTCAAACTATGGAGCTTTTTTTTTAAGCATTTAATGATTTACTGTCTGTTAACACAGACTGTCCTCTGGACCTACATGCAGGCTGAGACTGGTATTACAATTTAATTATTAAATATCCTAAACAATTACCGTACACTCTTCCCCATCCACATACATCTTTTCTCTTTAGTCTATTTAAAACTGTGAGGAAACTTTACTCACCTGCAGCTGCGAGCTCCATAAATCCAAAAACAAGGCACAGGAGAGACATGAGTGCATCCATGAGACAAGGGCATTGTGTGGAGGGAGGAGATGGGGCTGTCACTGACTGCAGGCCCAGGGTTCCCGTCGTCACTGTCTCACTGAAAAAGGGCCCAATATGCTTGACACACAAACATTCTGTGCTGAAAATAAGCCGCCCACCCTTGTATAATAATGCTCTATTTGTTTGTCTGTGCATGTCAGAGACAGCTGCGTGTTCAGGCCTTCCTTAATCTGCCCGCACATCATGGTGCATAGATAAGACTGGTTGGGTTAGAAAATAGAGAGAAAAGTGTGTCTTCTTAATGAGATGAACGACTTTCCTCCGGCCCTCAGTGTCATTGATCTACCATTAGGATATTTGGTAAAGTTTCATTTTGGATTTTCAGTCACACTTTGGTTGATGTCAATCTGTGTTTTTTAAGTCATTAGTTTAATTTCCATTTAGTGTCATCTAATGGTTGATTGCTTTGACTCATTGACTTGAAGGCAATCCCTCACAGCAAGCAGTCTTGTAGCGACAGTAGAGAGGAAAAACTCCCTTTTAAAGACAAGGTGCAGTCAGCAAGGAATAATCCATGGATCATTATTTATATCTAAAACTAATACGTTCATGGTGATTTAAGGAATTTAGTGTTGATCAGTAACTTTCGTCACGATCACTGAGTCCGGGAGCAGCCATTTTCGTCCAAATATAGTAACACCTCCCTCCTGACATCTTCCGGCAGTGACGTCACGGTGCGGTATGCTTAGCGCTATTCTCCCCGCTCTAAAAGCAAAACCAATGGGAACTACTAGACACATCTGCAATCAACAACAATTTCCAGAGGACTTCACCATTGAAATTCACCATAGCGATAGTGAAACTGACAATGCCCATGTGCATGGCAGCTGGATGTTGATATACATCGAGTAAAAGTTAAAAAATGGGGTAAGTGAAAATGAGGACGAGCACATAGAATAGCCTTACCAGAACATATCACTAAAATGATTGACAGTTAGGAGGACCACTTATTTTGATGATCCACCTGGAAAAAAGAACATTCTCCACTATACCTGTCAAGCAAAGCAGAGGTGTGTCAGCAGTCACCACTATAGGTGCTGCCTAAATAGTGCAGATAATATAGGAAGGAGGTAGGAAAAGAAGGCACGATGCTTCCTGTGGATAGGTTAGCATAGAGTCCTCACCAGGTTCCCCACTGATGAAAACAATCTATAAGGAATCCCACAATCCTTTGTGTGACAGGGTATATAGGCACAACCCAACTCAGGCAGTTTATGTATGAGTTGAACGTTTTTCGGATCAGCACAGCAGCCCAGAGCTCCTTTCCTATCCAGAATGGTTGATTCCAAGATGATGGAAAAGGAGTTTGGACCTAGAGCTGGGAGCTATAATAATAATACCATTTTGGACGGATTATTTTTTGTCAAACCTGATTTACCCTTAGAAGTGAGAAATCAGATGATAACAATAACAGAAACTGTCAATGAAACAACAGGAAATATGTTCAAAGCTTCTCTAAGAGCAAAAAAAGAATTACAAAATGGTTGAAATGTTCAAAGAGTTTATTTTCACAAGTAGAACAGCCACACAGTCAGCTACTGTCCTCAAGAGCCACTGAGCTTACATCTGCATTTAACGGACAGACCTTTACAGCAGGGAAATAAGGTCGTTTTCATTGCTATCCAGGAAGCTTTTTTACTTCAAAATGTCAGGAATAACCTTGTATTAGGTTTTGATGGGTTACGGTATAAAACTTTGAACTCAACGCTCTTGCTGACATTTTGAATTGAAAAAGCTTCCTGGAAGGTTCTGAGAAGTGTGAGAAGAAATATGATGCACTTTAACTTCAGTTCCTCACCTAAAAACATTTCCCCTGTCTCAAAAAAGGTGCGTATTTCTTTACTTGGCATGAAGAATCACACATTTTCACAGCAAGTTTGTTTGTTATAGATCACAACTTTTTTTGTGGAAGGGGATTTATGTAAGTTCAGGCATGGTTTTGCGCATATTCAAGCTCTATAAATGAGACCCCAGCTGCCATTTTGCTTCTCTTCTACTTGATTTAAACAGTTTTTGTGCTAAATTATTGATTTAATCTTTAGATCAAATTTTTCTTATTAATACCTGAACTTTCTGCTCACTTTGTGAACTTCCTGTCATGACGAAGAACAATGTTTAAATTTTGTTTCAGTTTCAACATTCAATTCAGCTTATTTCTATAGCGCCAATTCACAACACACATCATCTCATGGCACTTCACAGTTCACCAGATCATAAAGTCTTCTATCTAAGGAAAACCAGTTTATTGCATCGACTCACTGACTTGAATGCTCACACTAAGCATGCTTGTAGCGACAGTGGAGAGGAAAAACTCCCTTTTAACAGAAAGAAACCTCCAGCAGAACCAGGCTCAGTGTGTCTAGGCCGACTGGGTTGAAGGAGACAGAAGCAGAGATACAAAAAGCAGCTGTAAAAGGCGGCACTGTCCAGGAAACACAAAGTGAAGCAGACAAGGTCCGAGCCAGCTCCCATGTCAGAGGATGAAGAGAGCACATCCAGCCAGTCACAGTCAGAGAAACAAGGCCTATTCATAATTCTGCTTCATTCTATCTCTATTCTCCCACTCTGCAGAATCTGTTAGTTCAATTTCTAACGTTATGCTCTCTCTGCTTCTTCTAATAGTAGCTTCATCTGGTCTGTTCCTGTTTGGCTGTGGCTCCATCCTGGACAGAAATATCAGCTGTGCTGAACATGAGTTCAGAAATGATGCTCGGTGATGACACCCACAGGACAGTCCATATGCTCAGCTGTGCTCCGTTCATCCCGGATGGGTGAAGCTTTTTGAGACAAAATCGTTCAAATGATTTTTTTAAAATGCTTTAAAATGCTCAAATTAAGATTTCATTCAGTACGATACCTGTGGCTCTCTGTCGATACACGGACACCATGAGGAGGGTGGAGAGGAAGTATGGAGAGAAGACCAACAGGTGCCAAAGCACAAAGGACGTTAAGGTCGGAGCTCCAGAGGTGGGCGGACTTGTTTCTGTGGGTTTATCTTAAGAGAAAAACACACATGATGATTAATTATTTGAGTGGTTGGGTGGGGGGAGAAATCTGTGATAATTCTGACCTTCAACAGAGATCCAGCTTGATGGAGACTCTCCATGACCACTGATGTAACACCTGTAGAGGCCTTCATCAGAGCTGGTCACTTGGTGGAGGGTCATGTGACCTTTGGGCTCAGTCCTGATGAGGGAGCCATCTTTATAGAAAGCAGCTGGGAGGTTGGAGGGAGTGGTCTTTGTTAGACAGCTCAGAGTGACGTCATCTCCCTCCATCACAGGGTGGACAGGACCCTGCAGGATCACTGATCCACCTCAACACAGAGACAAACTACAGCATTTCATCCATTTCCACACAGCTTCATCAACACTAACGCCACAGTCTGATCTTACCAGTGACAGTGAGCTGGATGCTGCTGCTGGCTGCTCCCTCTCTGGACTCACACCAATAAACTCCAGTATCCAGGGTGATGATGTGGGTGACATTGCAGTAGGAACCGGCTTTATTTCCCCACTGCGTTCCACAGGGAGTTCTGCTTTCTTTGGTTGTGTTTCTTGTCAGGGTCCATACAGCAGAGCTGTGGTCATCCTTACAGCTCAGAACCACAATATCTCCTTCAAAGAACTGCGATCTGCTGGGACTCACAGTCAGGTGACCTGGGCAGATCAAGAATATAACTAACCATGCTAAACTGAATATGCCATAAAAAACATTTTTACATGAAAAAAGTGCGAAACGCTTTGGGCATACAGAGGGAATCCAGGCTGTAGGCAGAGTCAGAAGTCAATGAGAAACCAGTGAGAGCAGGAACACATGATGGCAGGCGGTGCACACAAGCACTAGGGATAAAACTCATATAGGCACTGATATTCCATCCATCCATCCATTTATTTTCTGTCATACTTATCCCAAGCAGGGTCGCAAGGGATCTCCAGCTGTCTAGAGGCAAGAGGTGCGGTCCACCCTGAAAAGGTAGCCAGTCCATCACAGGGCAACATAGAGACAAACAGGACAAACAACCATTAACACCCACACACTCACACCTAAGGATAATTAACCTAACAGGGATATTTTTGCACTGTGGGAGGAACCCAGAGTACCCAGAGAGAACCCATGTATGCTCAGGGAGCAAACTCCATGCTGAAAGACCTCGGGCCATGAATCGACCCTTGAACATTCTTGCTGCAAGGCAGAGGTGCTACCCACTGCACCATTGAGCAGCGGCTACTGATATTCCGAAAACATGAAATAAACTACCAGTGCTTAGTTACGCAGCAGAGGTACAGGATGGGATTTGATCCCACAGACTCCAGGGTCTAAGTAATGTGTGCCGACCAGTCATTCAAGGCGATATCCCCCTGGCCAAGTAACCAGGGTGCATCATGAGTCGGAAGCATAGTGACAGGACCACCCTTTGCACTACCCAAATAAGGCAGATGGACACAGCCTTAAAATGGGGCAAGAGTCCAAAAACAAAACAAAAGCTATCCAAACAGGGTTAGACAACATTTCAAGTGGGTAGTCCACCCCAATGATACACAATCTTTGGTGGGCATCCCTGGGTCTGTCCCTGGTGAAGCATGTCATTTGGCAGGTCAAAAACAATAGTGGATGTTGATGAAAGGGATGGAACAGGCTACAGGTAGAACCCATGACAAGGCTTTGAACTAGGACGAGGCTTTGGGTCCAGCCGGAGGTTTGGAAATCTGGCCAGCTAGGACATAACGTCTAGTAGCTTGACAAGCTTGAATGGAAGGCCAAAGTAATTCTGATCCACGATGGAGCCTGGGGAACTTCAAACCAGGGCTGGACAACTTTGGCTGGAGTCTCAGTGGAGCCCAAGTGATGCCGAGACCAACGGGGGAACTTTGTTCAGGATTCAGGGCATACAGGAAACTTCACCTGGGCTCCAACCTTGATAACTGGGGTGAAGGAAACCAGCAGAGCATTGGTAACTTGGTTTGAGGCAAACCTGCCATAATGACTAACAGTGGGGTAGGCAGCATGCAAGGCATGCTGCTGACCAATGGAGTCAGGAAACAAGGCGTCCAGATGACCCTTGTTGGCAGGATAAGGGAGTCCAGCGTTCTCTTGACATCCAGGGGTAAGTGCGGACTCAGAACCTCAGAGACCCAAGTGCAATGCACTAATCACTACGCCACCACGCCTCATAAATGGTGCTCAGCCATGTGATCATATGCTGCAGCAGTGTTGGGGTGTCAATATGAAGAAAGTGAAGGGAATGGATACAATGTTAGCTGTGGCAAGAAGGCAGATTGACTTGTCTCCTTGGACCAGTACCAGGAGATGGTATAGCCAACCTGGATGCCATGTACGCTGCTCCTTAGATTACCTGCAGTGAGTCTTTCCCCTTACTATACAACAGAGCCCGTGCTTTTGATGAGGGTTTGAAACTGGTCCGATTGTACTCAGAGGACCTGATATTCTAGCCAGACAAGCTGTGCTTAAAAGGTCTTCTGAAATGTTTATTGGTCTGAATTTTTCTGTAGATTTAGCCCCTGAGGCGCCACAGATTTTCTGAAGCACCTCTTTGAGATCATGTTTTTGGTGCAGTCTGAAATGAAAAGGAGACCCATCTCACTGATCCAGAATGTGGAGCAACTTGTTGTATATTCTCCAGCTTGAAGAAGTTTACCATTTCCTGGATTACTTCTGGAAACATGTTATCCACGGTCTTCACTACAACTCCTGAAGTCATCCTCTGCCTGCCACGTTCTCCAGCTCTGTGACTCTACCAGCATGGCCTCCCTCTCATATCACCAGAGACTCACTACCAGGATCTCATATAATCCTAAAGGCACTTAATTTTGATCCAGAACAATAAGACTTCTCTATTCATATCCTTCCTCATCGATGCCTTTGATAACAGATTCTTCAGAAGCTGGAGAATCTCCAGAGCCCAGAACCTGGTTCATTCCCATGGTTCTGGTTTCAAATAGGTCTTTACCCTTTGTCTACCATCTGCTTGTGTGATTCTGCATGTGGGTCAGGAAGGCCTCTCAGAATATGAAAATTAAAGTGTAGAATCAAAGAAAAAAGTGATCCAAAACAATTTAGATTGTTTTTCACCCCTGTAAAATATTTTAAAGGTCCCATTTTATCCAAACTTCACATTATAAACATTTTGTAACAGTAATATTTCTTGAGGATTGTGTATGAGGTTCACAAATAATAAAAAAAAAAACTTTCCCCACTATCAGAGCCTTTGTCCACATCTTAGCTAATGTGTGCTCAAAATGCTCTGTTTGAATATAATGCCCTTTATGATGTCATAAGGGGAAATAAGTTATCCAGAGCAGTCTGTAGCCCATCAGTCAAACTTCAGCCTTTATCTGGTGTAATATTCGGAGCTCCTGGGCCATCTTTACGAATTCTGACTGGTTGTCATAGTTGCGGGTTGTGGGGGCGGGGCATTTAGGACGACTGGGCATGAGGGCTGAATACAAATATTTTACGTAGTTCCCATCAGCCTGATATGAGACAAATTTTCTGGCACAAATGGCAAAAACATGCTCTGGGGGCCTCAATGTTAATAGTTTTTAGTTTCAAATCTAGAAAAATACGGGACCTTTAAACAACAGCCTAGCAAACTTCATCAAATCCCAGAAGTAAAATAATTTTCATTACTGATATTATATGTGATATTTTAATGCAAACTACACCAGATACATTTTGAAATATAAATACAACAAGCTGGATAAACACAGACTAACTAAAAATTGTTTATATTGGTCATTCATCTCCATTGTTTTTTATTTTATCTGTGTTTTATATATCTGCATTCTGTCATTGCTCCAAGGTGACAAAGATATGACATTCAGAAAATGTCTTCAAAACAAGACCCAACAAAGACAATGAGTTAACAACTGCTCAGCTAATAACACCAATAACATCACTGCATATATGCAAATCATGTTTTTAATCAGATTCGATTCAAACAACTTTATTCATTCCTCAAACACGGGCAATTAAGCTTGCAGCTCTCTATGGTAAATCATTCCGTAAAAATTCAAAAAATATCCACTGGACTTGGTTTTCAAGATTTGAAGACGTTTCGCCACCTCTCCAGGAAGCTTTCTCAATTCAAATGTCTGGATCCGCAGTGAGTTTGAGTCTTATACAGACAACGCCTTGTATCGCTTGGAAACATGCAATGGTAACCGATGAATGGGTCGTTAGTTCCATCGTTAGCCTGTAATATCTGAACCTGTCTATGATTCTAGGGGTCGGTCGTTAAAGGGGGGATTGCCATTAAGGGGGGGATTGTCTCCTGTAATACCTGAAACCTGTCTATGATTGTTAAGGGTTGGTCGTTAAGGAGGTATTGTTCACCGGCTGGGGCGGGTGAGTCCCTCGTTCCTCTGTGATGGGGTGGGGGGTTTGGTGATATCTGGAAGGGATCATGTCTATGATTGAATTGTATGTTTTTGGAAGCTGGAATCTGAGTCCACCACCTCTGTTTAAAGTTGGTTTTTCTCTCTTAACATAGATGGCTTCCTTCACGCCCCTCTCAAACCACCTATTTTCTTTATCCAGAATATGGACATTCTGGTCCTCAAAAGAATGTCCTTTGTCCATAAGGTGTAGGTGTACTGCGGAGTCTTGTCCAGAGGCAGCCGCTCTTCTGTGTTGGGCCATGCGTCTGTGGAGAGGTTGTTTTGTTTCGCCAATATAAAGATCAGAGCATTCCTCGCTGCACTGAACAGCATATACCACTCCGCTCATATTTGGTCTGGGGGTTTTATCTTTAGGGTGCACTAGCCTCTGTTTAAGGGTTTGGTTTGGCTTGAAATGTACTGGGCGTTGTCTGTATAAGACTCAAACTCACTGCGGATCCAGACATTTGAATTGAGAAAGCTTCCTGGAGAGGTGGCGAAACGTCTTCAAATCTTGAAAACCAAGACCAGTGGATATTTTTTGAATTTTTACGGAATGACTATGACCTGGATGACTGAGAACCTTCATCAGCATATCTCTATGGTAAACATTTGAAAACACACCGTAAGTGATCACCCAGTGCTAACATAAGGAAAAGTCAGGAACTGTACTATCAAAAAGTATAGCAACTCATCTTTAATAAAGCTTGTTTTCATTTTAGAGTTATCCAAAGCTTACCGCTGTGCTGTCTGTCGTTTCTGTTCTCTGAGGGAAAGGACACTTCAGACAGAGGAAGTCGTTTAGCTAATCCTTATAATGGCTGAGGCTGCTAAAACAGTGGTCGCCTGAAGTCGAACAAAGAGGAGTTTCCCAGCTGATGTGAGTAGAGTATGTCGAAATGAAAATGTAACCAAACACAAAGTGGTTCTGATGCTGTGACATGGTATTATGACTTACTGTATGTGTGATAATAGATCCAACAAACAGACATTTAAAGCAATCTGCTTGTGGCTTTGGCACCTTTCAACTCGAAGAAAATGGCGGATAAAGCAGAAACCCATGACCTTATCACAGCAAATACAGTGACGCGATAGAAAACAAAACATAACAGCAAATGAAGAGAAGAGAATGGACTAAAAAATATGACCCAAACAGAATAAATCTAATACATATATATATACAAATGCAAGGTCTGGAGAGACCTATCTTTTGGGCTTTTAGAGACTCTAAGTACAAAATTGGATTCTGTAAGATATATCCCATTTAAGATCAGTTTGTGTGTTAAAATGGTAGCAGAGGTTCACTTACCGTGGATAGCTGCAGAAATCAGGAAGGAAATCAAAACTAAAAGGAAAAAAAAAAACCTTAGTTTGATTTTTCCTTCTGAGCAGAAAATAGAAAAACAGTGATCAGAGTTTGACGACAAACAGAAGATGGTCGATTATAACGTAAACCTGTGCTGATCAGATCAAAGGAAGCAGATCTCTCTTTACCAGACAGAAAACTGTTTTTATTGACATTAAATTTACTTACAGAGAAACCCCAGTTGATTTTGTACCTTCATCCTTCAGCTCTCTGACAGGAAACCAGCTCTTTGACCAGTTATTGTAAACTGCCCCACCTCTTCATCCTCTAACTAGATGGGGCTGTGGTTTCCTGTCAACATCTCAGAGTGGGAGGACTTTGCTGTTTTTCTGAACATTTCACATCATAACCTCTGTAAAGAAAACCTGCCCAACAGAAACCTGAGACCCTCAAAGATGAAATCAGTAATTATTACCATCAAATAAACCAAATCCAAATGAGAGGGACCGGCAATAGAAAGTGGTTAAAACAACCTTCTAATTAGTCTAATTTGTAAATCAGTGTATTTCCAACTTTCTTTATATTCATCACCAGAGTGAGCCATGTTTCTAATAATTCATCAGTAATCTCCTTCTCTGTGATCGATGAGGAAAAACAGGAGTGGATTCAGCTGACGATGACAAGAGCAGCGGCCAAAATACAAACTAACTAACAACTGACAGCAAAGTCAAATAAAACCACAAATTAAATCAGAAAAATACCCTAATTATGGCTTTCTGAAATGATTTAGTCCACTTATTTAACCTGGCTTTGTGTTTTGATCGTGTTATTTACTAGAGCAGATTTGGCCTTTGCACTGACATCACACGTTTAGTTTGTGGTGAACTACATCCTGTAGCAGATTTTGGCAGTCTTTACGCTTTGGAGGAAGCACACTAGACTTATTGCAGAGGAGGAGGAAATGATTACATGAGGTGTCATGCATCTGGGCAAGAGGCGGATGAATTCAACTGAAAACAGTTTTTAAAGATGTATGTTATGTTACAGACTAGATTTTGCTCCATTATTGTCATAAGCAGTTTGTTGGAAAAATCCAGGAAATCCAGAATCCAGGAAAAAAACAACTCTAAATTAAGAAGGATTTTTTTAAGGTGAACTTTGCTATTTTGTTTATTTTTTGCTTTCATATTAATTTTTTTGAGGTTCTTTTTTTTATTAATTAAAATTTTTACCTTTTTAATTCTCGGCTTGAGTTTACAAATTGCTCTCCTTACAAATCACGTTTAACAGATCTCATCTTCACTTATGAGGGCGGGCTTTGAAGATGCATTTCTCTTGGTCAGCTGGGCGAATGTGATCTGTGGAGTTCAATTTGAAAACATTGCAATTAATAGAACTTAATCTTTAAGAGATCACTGAAAAAAAAATCTCATGTCAACTTTGTGATCATTAAACTTCTATTTTCTGACGTTTATTTGTAGATAAAGTAGATTGGGTTTTGGCGCCCCCTAGCTGTGTACATTGGAAGGCAAAACGTCCATGCACTGCAGCTTATTTATGGAGGTTCCGCTGCTGGAAAAATGTAAATAGTGAAACCTTCTCTGACAACAGTTGTCCCCACAGTGCTATTCCTAAACCCTGAAATAATGTCCCTGTTAGAGTCTGACCACAAGCTCAGACAGATTTTTGTAAATCCTTAACTCTTTAAAACGCTAAAAAAATCAAATTAAAAAATAAATGTATAGAATGTTTAAACAGGTCTTGATTAACAATAAAATGTTTGAATTATGATGTCATTCTAGTGCGAAACCTTTGGATGGTTGGATAACGAGGGGTTAAACTGGCTTTTCAGCACCATGGATAGCAGCCCCTCCTAGCTCTAGATAAAGGCGGGAAGAAAGCAGCTCCTACTGAAGTTTAATGAAGTTGAGATTGGTTGTTTTGAAGAATTAAATATAGATTCTGTTTAAAGAGAGTTTTAATAGATTAAGACTTTAGAATACATTTCTGTCTGTTAGAGAAACACTTCTATTAACGACATGTCAGTGCGCAGCGGTAATTATAACAGTAGATTAACACATTAAGGGTTTTGGTCAGGGACCCAGAGTGCAGGCTATGGGGATTGAACCGGGTACTTGCAACCCTCTCAGAGCAAAAGCGCACTGCTGTAACCCACTAGGCCAACACTCCCCAAAAAAACTACATTTTGATGTAACCTGATCAGTGAATCCAGGATTCATTCGTTCCACAAAGGCCAAGCCAGGGCTTAGATAGAAAACTTGAATCAATTTGACTGGATGATCTGGTTGAATTATCTCTGTAAAGTTCCTTGAGATGCCATGTGCTGTGAATTGGTGCTATATGAATAAACTGAATTGAATTATAGTTTCTCCAATGCTTTATCAGATTTAAAGGTTAAAGGATCATCAATCTGATTTGGGGAAAGATTTATTTTTAAAGAATGAAGTCAGTTATGTTATATTGGGCCTATTTTGTTTAAATCAAATAAATTAATGGTTGTTCTTGTTTTCTTTAAGGTTTTTACTTAATGGTACATCTTCTGCTGCAATATTTGGAGGGTGTAAGACAATCCGCTGGACTTTGTTTCCACTTTTGAAGCTTTTTCAAGTTAAAATGTCAGGAAAAGTAGCCCAACAAAGTTCAGGAAATAATTATTTTGATTCGATCAGGTTCCTTTTTAAGATGGAGGAAATAGACATATACGGCACAGCTTGGTGTTCATTTGGATAAATGGCATCCAAAGGACCTCTCAACCCATCCCCACTAAAACCTTGGGGGAACAAAACTGATTTGGTCCTAATTTGCTGCATTCATTATCAAGACACTGACTTTTAGAATCTGAGGCTTCTGCTTTTTTTTTTCATATATACTTTCACAGTATATTTAATTGTTTGTTTGGAGCCACATTTAGAAGACAATTAAAAATGTGATATTTTATTTCTTCATTTTTTCACAAGTTCCTAATATTTACGATGACGAAATTACAGAAAGGATTAGTGTCACTGAAAAAATAAAAAAGTTAACGTATTTTAACATTTATTTTCATTTTAATATGGGAAAAAAGTCAGAATTCTGACTTTTTCTCAAAAATCTGACTTTAATTTCAGAATTCTGGATTTTAATGTAAATTGGCACCATAAAGGAAGAGATGTGTACGGAAGAGGATTAGGGTCGCTGGAAAAAAAAAGAAAAAAAAAGTTAACTGATTTTTAAATTTTATTTCAGTATAAATGGGAAAAAAGTCAGAATTCTGACTTTAATCTCAGAATTCTGACTTTTTTTTCTCTGAAATCTGACTTTAATTTCAGAATTCTGACTTTAATCTCAGAATTCTGACTTTAATTTCAGAATTCTGACTTTAATCTCAGAATTCTGACTTTTTTTCTCTGAATTCTGACTTTTTCCTCGGAATTCTGAATTTATTTCTCAGAATTCTGACTTTTTTTCTCTGAATTCTGACTTTTTCTCGGAATTCTGAATTTAATTCTCAGAATTCTGATTTTAATTCTAGAATTCTGACTTTTTTCCAGATTAAACTGAAATAAAATGTAAATCAGTTCCCTTTTTTTTCAGTGGCCCTAATCCTCTTCCGTACTACGAATAAACTATTTTCTATGTTGTTGTGTATGTTCAGGCAGAAATGACAACCAATAGGGGGCGGTAGTGCTCCAGAACGCTGCCTCGCCGCTACAGCAGCAGCAGAAGAAGAACAAAGAGAGCCGTAGAAGGTCATTCATTCAAAGCTGTAACTGCGTCATAGCGGACCTTTCTCCTCGTGTTTTAGAGGTTCTGGGTGACCCTCTAAATAACTACTGAATGAAAGTCCAGCTAACTAACCTGTTCGGTTCGGTTTGTTCCGTTTGTGTCGTAAGATCCATTTATTTAAGGCTATGACCAGCAGCAGCACTGCTGCCCAGCAGACCACTTGGTGCCTGTTCATCTTCCTGGTTTCTGGATCCTCTGAGTCGGTACCGTCCGCCAGCCCTGAGGGTGAGTTAAACTGCTTTAAAAGGGAGATTATCACTGCCGTGGGAGTGAATTCTAGTCGGTGAAACATCGCCTCCGGCCTTCCTGTTTGCTAGCTCCATTTTATCTGCTAACTCTGGTGTTATAGTCTCTGTTGGCATCTCTGCTCATGCTTGATAAATCTGCTCATCCTTTTATTAATTAAAATGAAAAAGAAAAAGACATTTGAGATTTATTTTTGAAATGTACCCCAGCAAATACATACCAAAATTCAATTTGACATGTAAAATTTGAAAATGAAAAAGCATTTCCAGAAATGCATTTGAAATATGATAACAATTTGCTTCCACAGTTTATATGAAGAGACTAATTATTTACAGTCCAGCTCGTTTCCAGAGGAGTTAGAAATGTCTTTAAAAGCCTCCAAGCTGACTGCTGCCAAACAATTAACAAATAAAATACAGTAGATAACTGATAGAAAAGATATCTGGTGTTGATTTTATCTCTAAACAGCTACGCTGCAGAAACTACTGTCTAATTATTTCTTAACAAGGTGACCCCACTCTGTTCTAAGAGTAAAGAAGGAAAAGAAGTAGTAATAATAATATCTCGTATTCTTGAATTAAAACATGATTTAAGCGATCAGTGGATTCTGAAAAACTATAGAATAAGTGTCAAATGTTGATCTAGATCAGCTGTTCAACATACAGGTGATATGTCTGAATCAATAGCTCAACAGGTTTAGGGAAGCTTTGCAAAAAAATAAAATAAATAAAATACAAGTCTGGGGTCGTCTCCATAGAGATAATTTTGCCCTTGTTTTTTTTAAACAGATTTTTCACTGATGGGCAAGATAATATTATGTCCTAACTCTGAAATGACAAACATTTCCTCACTGGTAGCTCTTTGTGATGAGTTGCTTATTCATCCTTCTAATTGTACCAGTGAAGCAAACAGCATCAACTTACAGTAAAAAGTAGACAAAATAATACTCAATTGCCAGAAACTGTAATATGTGAATAATTTAAAGTTCTGCATGCAAACGAAAAAATGTGTCGTCCTCAAAACAATAGAAGGGAATAAGATGACAGCTGACTGCATGAACATGGTTACACATCATGACAGGTTCATAAATACGGCATGAAAAAGAATCACCAATAACTATGTCACATTTAAAGTACTAAAGCCCTAATTAGAGGATAAGCATCATGATAAGGTGATGGAGGGTTTTACAGTCCGTATTCCTCCAGATTCCGCTGGATCACAAGTTAATCTGTGAGACTCTGCAGATTCTGACGCTTTCAGATAATCATGATGCATTTATTTGATCCCCAAACCCTTCAGTAGACGGCCTGCTGGGTATCTTTGATATTACTGATGGGTTATCGTTTAATTAGATAAATTGGTAAATGAAATAAGTGGAAAATGAGCAGTACCTACATAAATATAGTGTCACGCAGCACTCATCATCTGAGTCTTTAGCCCATAACATAACTTGATGCAGACATGCTTTGGAGAAAATAACATGATCTTCAGAATACTATTCATATCAAGCATTTAGAAAAAAATAAATCTAAAATTATTTTAAATAGATACAATCTGAGAAAATATACCCTC